GGAGGGCATGGAAACCCACTCCAGTACTCCTGCTGGAAAATTCCATGGACAGAGGAATCTGGCAGGCTACAGTCCATAGCATCACAAAAAGTTGGACATGACTGATCACATACATATACACTCTACATGTAAGTTAAAGGTTACAACATACAGCCTTGTTGTACTCCTTTCCCAATTTTGATCCTCTCCATTGTTCCATGTCGAGTTCTAACTGTTGCTTCTTGGTCTACATACAAGTTTCTCAGGAAGCAAGTAAGGTGGACTCATATTCCCATCGCTTTAAGAATATTTCACAGTTGTTGTGATCCACACAGTCAAAGACTTTAGTGTAGCCAATGAAACAGAAGTAGATGTTTTTCTGGAATTCCCCTGCTTTCACCATGATCCAGTGAATGTTGGCAATTTGACCTCTGGTTCTTCTGCCTTTTCTAAACTCAGCTTGTACATCTGGAAGTTCTTGGTTTATGTACTGCAGAAGCCTAGCTTGAATGGTTTTGCACGTAACCTTGCTAGCGTGTGAAATGAGTGCGATTGTGCGTTAGTTCAAACATCCTTTAGCATTGCCCTTCTTTGGGACTAGAATGAAAATTGACCTTTTCCAGCCTTTTGGCCACTGCTGATATTTCCAAATTTGCTAATATATTGAGTGCAACACTTTAACAACATTATCTTTTAGGATTTTAATGACCTAGGGACCTAAAATTTTGCATCAGCCACTTATCTGATTCAATGCATCAGAATATAGATGTATTCAGTAAGTTTTTTTATTTTTAAAAGTATTTGTTTGGCCTCCTATGGTTAGTATCCTCAAATGAAAGCACAACCCCCCAAAATATATAAACCAGTTGACTTACACAGTGTCTATTGCTTTTGACCCTGATTTCATTTTGATGAAAAGTAAATGTTCCCTATTCAGGGACAGAATAAGAAAATTGTTAAGTCTGTCAAACTCATCTTCAGGGATCCTGACTCCCTTTTTTCATATCTTTCCCTTTCCCTTAGGAGTCTCCCTTGTCCTCTAGGGTTCCTGGTTCCCTCAGAATCTGGCTACAAGGCCCCCTGCTAATCTTGTGCTCATGGCCTTTATTCACCCTAAAGAATAAATAACACTTTGAAATATTTATAAATAAATAATTGACTCAGCTTAGCATTCAATGTGTTTAGCAGTAGAAGTTTAATATTCTAAATCAATTGTGGAGTACAGGAAGCAAGTACAATATAAAATCTCCTACTTCTTCTGTAGGAAGGTCTCTGCATACGTTTGTCAATGCCTAAGTCCTATGTGAAAATTTTAGCATCCAGCATTTTATGAAATTTAATCCATGGAAAATAAATCATCCCAATGCCTTTTTGAGGCACAAATGATCATTTTCAGGTCAAGGAATTTAAAGATCTAAATCTAAATCTTTAAAAATATCACCAACACTGTAACTAATAATAGCAATTAATCATCTTTACATATGTCAATTAGGAATTTACAGTATTGCATTTCCCATGAGACGTATAAGTAGCTTTATTTCTATTTTAATAATGGTAATGTCATTTTATTTAACAAGTTATTAATGATATTATTCTTTTACTTTATTCTCAACATGTTAAAATAAAATTCAAAATAGTCTTTCAATCAAGCCCTCATACAGGTTGTCTTATTTCTATCTGTAGTCCCAAAGTCTGCTTTTCATTCAGTTTTGAAGCACAAGCCTCATCCTTAACTTATCCCAAGCCACCGCCATGCTGCCTACAAATTAGTGTTTCAGAAACAGAATTCCTGTTATGTCAATTCCATCTAGGCAATAGAAAGGGAAAGCCAATGCCCCAGTCCGTTAGAAGTAAATTAAGTACTAATCCTTTTTCTTGTAGTTTAACACCATCCAATATATGCATCACACATCATAAATACCTCTAATTTGCAGGTGCTTTTGCTATTATGAATTATGATTCTTGTTGTTGTTGTTTAGTTGCTAAATCATGTCCAACTCTTTGTGACCCCAGGGACTGCAGCACCCAGTTCCTCTGTCCTCCTCTATCTTAATGAAGTTTGCTTAAATTCATGTCCATTGAGTCAGTGATGCTATCCAACCAGCTCTGATTTTTATTAGTTAATATTTACTGACTACTGACTGTATATTAGGTAGTGTCCTTAAACTTCATATAAATTATCTTAGATAACCTCAGGATAACTCTATTAGATGCTATTATATCCTTATTCCTGAAATGAGTCAACTGAAATCACATAGTTAGTTAACAGAGGAGGAGAATTCATTTCTGCAAAGCCTGTGATTGGTTTGTCTGAGGGAACAGAGATAGCAGTGATACAACTTTGTGTCTTGTGACTCCAAGGCTAACAACACTAATAATTCACCTTCATTTGTCCCTTAAGCCAAGTATAACTATTAATTCCAAAAGGAATGGATGTTATTCTCTTGGGAAATGACGAAGTTTGCTGGGAGAGGTCACAGAAATTCTTCCTCTATTTTCTGTAACTTGTGACATAGTAAAACATTCCTGTTTGTAGCTATTTGACCTACTAATTCTTTGGTGACCATATCTAGATCTTCCCGAGCAATTCTGATTTCAAACTTTCTGCCCCTCTTAATCAGAGGCATGGATCAGAGGAATTGCACCAGAAAACATCATCAGTAAAAACTTTAAAGCCGCACATTGACATAATGTAAAGATCATGATGAAAAGATGTTAGAGAAAGCAGACAAAGGGAACAGAAGTTCTCAGACAGGTGTTGCCTTGTAAGGGCTCTGCCACTAAATGTACACCACTCCCTTTTGTCCCCTGATCTTAGGACCAGATCATATGTCCTAATAGTGGTCTTATGGGGCTTCCCTGGTGGCTCAGATGATAAAGAATCTACCTGCAATGTCAGAGACCCAGGTTCGATCCTTGGGTTGGGAAGATCCCCTGGAGGAGGGCATGGCAACCCACTCCAGTATTCTTCTTTTTTTTTCTTTAAATAATTTTAAAAATTAATTAATTTATTTTAATTGGAGGCAAATTACTTTACAATATTGTGGTGGGTTTTGCCACACATCGACATGAATCAGCCACAGGTATACATGTGTCCCCCCATTCTGTCTTTTTTTTTTTTTCATTTATTTTTATTAGTTGGAGGCTAATTACTTTACAATATTGTAGTGGTTTTTGCCATACATTGACATGAATCAGCCATGGATTTACATGTGTTCCCCATCCTGAACCCCCCTCCCACTCCAGTCCAGTATTCTTGACTGGAGAATTCCATCTGTCCTCTCCCCTCTTCAAGAGTATACTCTCAAAGTATCCTCTCTCCTCTTTCAAATCTCCTTGAATGCAAAGAGCCAGTGTTTGATAAAGCTTATCATAATTAAGGCCTTCCCAGGTGGCACTAGTGGTGAAGTATCCTGCCAATGCAGGAGACACAAGAAAAGCAGGTTCTGTCCCTGGGTTGGGAAGATCCCCTGGAAGAGGAAATAGCAACCCACTCCAGTATTCTTGCCTGAAAATTTCAAGGCCAGAGGAGCTTGGCAGGCTACAGTCCATGGGGTCACAAAGAGTCTGACACAACTAAGCAACTGAGCATGCAGTCATGCTATCATGGTAAAAAAGTTTTGTACGTAGTAGCCACCTTTAAATCTATTATCTCTTATGATATTTAGCCCCCCCAAAAATAGAGTTCTTCAATCTTTGTGTTCAATTAATCTACAGTTGATAAGATCAAATAGTAAAAAACATTGATATTTCAATTTTCTCTGATAACACTACATTAAAATAAGATTTATGCAAACAGTAGCTCAGTTGATAAAGAATCTGCCTGCAATGCAGAAGACCTCGGTTCAATTCCTGGGTTGGGAAGATCCGTTGGAGAAGGGATAGGCTACCCACTCCAGTGTTCTGGGGCTTCCCTTGTGGCTTAGCTGGTGAAGAATCTGCCTGCAATGTAGGAGACCTCGGTTCAGTGCCTGGGTTGGGCAGATCCCCTGGAGAAGGGAAAGGCTACCCGCTCCAGTATTCTGGCCTGGAGAATTCCATAGACTGTATAGTCCATGGGGTCACAAAGAGGCAGACATGAGTGAGCGACTTTCACTCACATGCAAACAATGTAAGAATATTGACTATGTTCCTCATTACTTGTTGTGGGAACTTCAATAAAACTTGGTTTATAGGTAGAAAGATCTTTCAAAATGCTAATACACTTTTAAAAAAAAGTGTTTAATTTTATTTATTTGACTGTTCTGGGTCTTAGTTGCAGCATATGAATTCTCAGATGCAGTATCGAGATCCAGTTCCCCAAGCAGGAGTCAAACCCAGGCCCTCTGCTTTGGGAGGGTGGTGCCTTAGCCACTAGACCACCAAGCGGCTGCTGCTTAGTCGCTTCAGCCACGTCCTACTCTGTGCGAGCGCATGGACTGCAGCCTGCCAGGCTTCTCTGTCCATGCGATTCTCTAGGCAAGAGTACTAGAGTGGGTTTCCAGGCCCCCCTCCAGGGGATCTTCCTGACTCAGGGATCGAACCTGGGTCCCACGTATTGCAGGCTGATTCTTGACTGCTGAGCCAAGGAGGTCTCTCGTAAGTTTAAAAACCAGTCCAATCACGAATTCTTGATACTGAAGATCTGCTGATGTTATTTGGCATTGGGGGAAAAAAGCAGAAAATTCATGAGCTGGATTGTCCAATGCCAAATAACACACCAAGATGACTAGCTTATGGCGACTTTAGGGAATTCCAAAGAACAAAGGTTTCTCTCTCTAGAATAGCAGTGCAGAGTCTCCAGGTGCTGAAAATGTTCATGTTATTTTACTTCTGCAATGTGTGCCTTATACAATACATCCCCAAAAGGAGACCAACTCAGTAAAGTTATATGAACTTGAATAACAGCTTTTGGTTTTATAATAAATACACAAAGCCAATTAAGAAATGAAATAGGCAACTTTTTAAGGCTTTTTATCTAAGCTGCTCTTATCTTAGTTTCTCCACACCAAGTCTGTACTAATGGGCTTTTCTTTCTGTAGGGAGATAAAGAAGCTGAATTAGGGCTTCCATTTTCCCCGCTTTGCGATCGGAAGTCAACGATGGTGGCCCAGTCCCAAATAGGTAATACTGAGAATTGGTGGTTATGGAGAGCGAGTGTGTGCCTGTTAGTTTTCAAATGGATACACAATGTTGTTCACTCATGAAAATCTACTCCATGTGCATGATAAATTTAATCTTTAGACTGATCTATATGGAGGTGAATGGTAAGAATTTTGAAATGTTCTCACAAAATGAATCAACAGAGCAGAATTAATTAATAATTGCTATTCTGTTTGTAATCCTTTTATAAAATACAGAGCTTTCTTCTCTTTCCGTGCAAGAGATAGCATTTTTTGTTGTTTTGTTGCTGATTATTTTCTGTAATTTAATTCTTTTTATATTGAATAATCCAATGAAAATATTAATGTATCTGTTCTGTTATCACTAAATTTGAATAATATGCCTAATGTATTAGCTCATATTCTTTTGGGAAAAAATTCTTAGGATATGAATATGTTAGGGAAATCAACAATAGGAAATTTGTAAAATGACATTGTTCCCAACCTTATTTATTCTTTTCGTTTGTGTTTATGTTGGGAACTTCAAATCTAGCCCATGATTAAAACATATTATTGCTATTAATATACTAAAATGGTATTCCCTGGGCCAGCATCTTCATTTCTGGCATCTATGACCAATAAATGAAAGAATCACTGCCTTACCTCTGTAGTTGGTCCTGCACCACCTCCTCCAAACTGGTGATCGCCTGTCAGAAAGCTTCTTGTGCTCACCTTTCCCCCTTCCTACCCGTGTTCCAATAACTGTTTTCCTAGCTACCATACCACAGGCGCCTCTCATCGTTTACAAGGTGTGGATACTGCAGTTAAGGGCCTCTGTGGGCAGACTGAGAAAAATTAAGTTTCTGAGGCTTGTTTCTGTACTGTGATTGCTGCCATGTTAGTAAAGGTGACTCATTTGACAGTCTCTAGATCCCAAGCATTTAAAACCATAGACAAAACTTGAAAGAACACCCTGGTGGTCAATTAACAGTGACTTAACTTGAAGTCATCAATTAAGATACAAAACTACTGAAGTTTTTTGAATAAAAATGTACCTTAATATACACTATGGTGAATCCAATGGTATGAAATGGAAATTACTTTTTATCCAAGTTCCTGATGAATAGGATATTTTTTAAATGACAGGACACTGTCATTGACAAAGCATCCCCACAGTGTTCTCTTATATTCAGATGATGGTCTGTTGCTCCCAGTTGTGTTTAAGGCAACAAACATTTGATTTCCAGCGCCACACTTCTCCTGGGCCCTCGGGTGTTGAATGTACACAGAGCTTGTCTTCTTCTCCACCTAAACACAGGTAGTAAATGCTCCCTAGAGTACCATGCCCCATTCTCTGTGTCTGTCATTTTCTAGTTTGATGAGTACTTTAAATGTAAAAGTCTTTATTCGGTCCTGGCAACTCAAAGTGGTGGGATTAATGCTTTCTCCCAGAGATGTTACTGTTCCCTGACAGATTTAACAGAATACACCCACGCTCTGTGAACTAACATTTTGTATCCCGAGAATAATAAACAGCTATTTGAAATATTACCTCACTGGCAGAAAGCTCTGACTGATATAGTATGAGAAAAAAAAAAAAAAGTGGTTGCCTTCCTGTGGCTTGAAAAAACAGTTCAACTATTTAGTTTCTTTGGAGCTTGGATATTATGTCTTGTTGGTCAATAACAAAATTCAACAAACAAGTGAAGATTTTTTAGAAAGGAGAGTGATCCCTCTCATTAACAGTGAAAAACAAATTGACTCTGGTTAGTCTGAAATTATTGTTAGCAATAATATGAGGCTGAATATTCACAGGAAACTCAATACACTTGAGTTAGCAAGTTTAAATTGTATCCCATTTTTACTGCTTGAGAGATGATTTTGTAGAGCAGTTAAACTCTCCTAAAGATTGTGTTATTGGATTAAAATTAATTGCAAGGGGTAAACTAAGCCAACATTGTAGTTGAAAATTGCTCTCAGAAGGTTAGATCTGAATTATTACTAATTTAGAATTTAGGAAATTATAACACTTAAATTTATTGATATTTATTTATGTTTTTGCTTTTGTAGGTTTCATTGATTTCATAGTAGAACCAACATTTTCTCTTCTGACAGACTCAACAGAGAAAATTATTATTCCTCTTATAGAGGAAGACTCGAAAACCAAAACTCCTTCCTATGGAGCAAGCAGGTTTGATTGTTTTCTTTTTTTGTGTCTTTTCTCTTTTACTTATAATTATCTTTATTATTGCTTACATTAAGCAGGAAATTCTTAGAAGAATTACAAGGTAGTATTGCCACCTAATGGCTCTATAATATATTGCATCTGCCTTTGAAATTAGGAACTTTATGTCCACTAGGAAAAATATCCAAGTTTAATACTAAAGAGTATTACAGAATCTTATTCAGTACTCAGGATAATAAATATTATTTGAATTTTTATTGAAATGTGTGAATTATATCCTGGATATATTAACATATCCAATCGTGGTAGGCAGTTGGGAGAGGGGAATTATGTTGTGTTGCTAACAAACAAATCAATCACAGACCACTTGTATATCTAGAAAGATGCCTACTTCAAAGTTAGCCTTTTAGATGACATGAATACAATTGATCTGGATAATGTGTAATAGTAAAGTTCATTTATATACAATTTAAAACATTTCAATCTAGATTTTTTTTTATTGATAAATGTGTTAAAGGATATTATTTAAAATGTCCAGTTGCAGAAAAATTATGCTAAATTCTTGCCCATATGAACACATAGCTGTTCCTAATAACATACCAACAGGTTCCTTAAATGTTTCCCTAGTGAAGAAACAGAGGGGATGTTCTACCTGAGAAAGATCCAGGTTAGCCTGGCGATTAAATGATGGAAGGAGGGGCAGGGACGGTTATCTGACTTTGAGCTCCAGAACGCTGATGTCTATTTTGTGATGTTCACCAATGGACTCACCACTAAGTCAGCTGTCTCAAGATTCTGCTCCTCTATTTAGGCCTCACCCACTGCCATCCCCACCCCGTAACACATGCTGTGGGATTATGACCCGCTGCTCTGGCCCTGTCCACAAGGGAAGGAAGGTGTGCGGTGAGCAGCCCTGGGCCTGGCTGCCACCTTCCTGCTTCTCCAGCTGGTTTTGTGAAGTGTTTCAGGCCTTGCTTCCTCATCCCATATTTCTGCCCTCGGCATTTTCTGGTTTCTTTGGTGGTTACTATTAGCTCAATAACCTATATGTTATCTCACGTTGCTGATTCCTTTAGAAGATCGAATATGAAAGGCACCACGAATGATGGAACCTACTCCCCCGACTACTCCCTTGCCAGTGTGGACCTGAAAAGCTTCAAAAACAACCTGGTGGACATCATCCAGCAGAACAAAGAGAGGTGGAAAGAGTTAGCTGCTCAAGGTACAGTTGTTTATGAGGCCTTCCTGGCATCCCTCTCTGTCCTAATGCCTCCTCTGAGATGTTGGATTGTTTTTCTCCCTAGATTTCCTCTTTTACAAAATATGCAAGCTCTTAGAGGTATTTATAATTTGGCTATTCATAAGAAAATTGACTATTCATAAGACTTTGACTATTCAAAAGAAAATTGGTCTGTCTGTTAAATAAAAAGAAATTCTGCTCTGTTTGTGCCATGTAGGCTGTAGAAGTATTGACGTGGGTGACAGGAAAGTGGATGTGAAGGAAGGATGGGACAGTAAAAGCGTGACCAAGTTTTACATGGCACAATACCCTCCTGTTCATTTCTAGAGGTGCTTCTGATTCTGTGTTTCAGGCTTTCCAAATAGATTGTGTTGCACTAGGAAAGCAAGACTTTGTGTCAGAGATTTGAGTTGTTTTTTGTTGTTGTTGTTGTTGTTCAGTTTTACTAAGTTATTTCTTTGGCTGACAGTTTCACTCATGAGTTGGAAAGATCATTTGTAATCTGCTACTGAAGAAATATGTCCCTGGCATATCATAGGTGCTTTATTTATTGAATGTGTTTTTGAATGAAAGAGTGAATGAATAAACTTCACTTTGAATCTATTTATTCAGAAAGGAAAACAAATGAATATATTTTCAGAAATAGAAAGACGACAGGAGGGAAACAAGATTTCTGAAACGCCTCCTATGTACCAGGCATTTTACATGTATTATCCTATTTCCTTTTATAACTGTCTTTTGAAGTGGAAAATATTACGCTCATTTTACAGTCTGGAAATAGAAGATCATACAGCTTCTAAGCATTAGAGTCAGAACTGATTCTCTACCCAAGGTTTTTCCCACTGCATGCTATTATACTGTCCCGTATCTTTCAAGAAAGTATGAAAAAAATTGAGTTGAAATATTTATATTCAATAAATCCAAGAATCCAACTGACCAAAATGCACTCTTCTCTAAGAAAGTTTTAACTAAAATAAACAACAGTGAACCCCAAACATCAACCCATCACTTAGAACCTATTTGTTATAAAGGAAAACTCTGTGTCAGAATTGGATTAAGTACAATTGCTCTCTTTCTAATAAACTTTATTGTGTTGCACACAGGGGTAAATTTTAGATTTGCATAAAGTTCTCAACTTACATTTCTGAAACTGTCCTGCAGGTATAAAATGTACAACCAAGATTTGAACATAGGAAGTCTGACTTTAAGCAAATTAAAATAATAGAGCATTTTAATAATATAATTTCCAAGGGTACTTATGAAGAGCATTCATTGTTTGAATAAAGAAACTTATGTTGAATTTTATTTATAAAATTACATACTTGGTTTCTATTTCCAATGCAATGATAAACTGGATAAAGAAATATGGTAAAAAACAACTAGCAATGCTGGATGAAATATTGCTGAAAAGAAATTGGCACCCGTAGTGAAAGTGAAAGTGTTAGTCATATCTGACTCTGCAAACCCATGGACTGTAGCCCACCAGGCTCCTCTGTCCGTGGAATTCTCCAGGCAGGAATACTGGAGTGGGTAGCCATTTCCTTCTCCAGGGGGTCTTCCTGACTCAGAGATTGAACCCGGGTCTCCAGCACTGCAGGCAGATGCCTTACCATCTAAACCACCCACAGGACCTGTTCAAATAAACATAAAACAGAAATTCAGAGAAATAAAGAAACTTTGAAGCAAGGATCTCTCCTGAGGGCATCTGTTTACTGAAGTCATGTGTTTGCAGACTGAATTTACTACCACATTGGGCTTATGCCAGAAGCGCAAATTTGGCTTTACATTTAAAAATTCTATTACTGCACTCATCATATTAATGATAGAAAGAGAAAAATGTAAGACCTCAAGAAATGCAGAAGGAACATTCAAGAAAATTCAGTATACATCCACTTTTTAAATTCAGAGGAACATTCCTAATCTACTATTTTTGTTTTCCTACTTGTCTTGCCTTCATTCTTACTACTTGAGATTTCTTTTTTATCCCAATATATTTCCTTTATGGTTTGAAATATTTGCACTCTATTCCTATTATTTTCATAATTAATTAGAAAATGTTAAATCTAATAATAATAATAGTAATCAATAATCAATAGTAAATAACAGAAAAGTTAACCAGTAAGTTTATCTTTCCACCAAACAACAGAAAAATCTTAAAAAATAATTTTAACTGATATTTTATTTTTTTAAAGTTTTAGAAATACAGAAATACAGTAATTAAAATTTAAAACATCTTGAAATTCAAGAGGACAATGTCTTTTTAACATTGTTTTGAAAAATGAAGCTTGTATAGGAAGACCCCTCCAAGGTTCTTCCTCAGCCAGCCAGATATGTTCCTCAGATAACCATAGCAGAGCTATATCAGACCTTCCATGTCTATTTGATTGCTGGGATTTCTTTTTGTTAAATCCTGATAGTCTAGCAGTTACTCCAAACTTGGACCACAATCTCAAGCTTGCAAAGCTGTGGGGTTTCCACATTTATTCTAAACTAAATCCACCACTTTATATTGGAGAAACTGTTTTTTTTTTCCCCTGTCTTATCCCAACACAAATTGCGTCTACCTGTGGCAGCAAAGCTGGTTTCCATTCTCAAGCTGCTGTTGGCGGGGAGGTTGAGAGCAGCTCCAGGCAAGAAGGTCCAGGTTCCTGCTGTTTGTACCAGAATCTCCAGGAATTTTTCAAGAAGAAATGCTTCTCAAAGTGTCGTGTTGCCTTGATTGATTCCCAGTGTGATGGAATAATTGTTTTGTTCATGTTTTCCCATGCTGTGTTTCTTTTCTGTGAAGAAGAAACCCTTGGCCTCTTTATATCACAGCAACAGGAAGTCCTCTCTCTCCACATTGGCTTTGGGAAAATTAAATAAGTTGATTTATGTAATTTTCTTACAGGTACCTGAAGTAGTAGCCATTACATGAATTGGCTTTTATTATTGTAATTATTACTTACTGTGCTTCTGCTATGTGTTCTAGGAATTAGGAGTACAGTAAAAAACAAACAAAACAACACACACAAAAAACTAGAGACACTTACCTTCATGAAAGAATTCAAGTTAGGAACAAGATTACAACTTTAAATAAGGTGCATAGGAAAACAGAAAAAGAGACACAGATGTATAGAACAGACTTTTGGACTCTGTGGGAGAAGGCGAGGGTGGGATGTTTCAAGAGAACAGCATCGAAACATGTATATTATCTAGGGTGAAACAGATCACCAGCCCAGGTTGGATGCATGAGACAAGTGCTCGGGCCAGGTGCACTGGGAAGATACAGAGGGATCGGGTGGAGAGGGAGGTGGGAGGGGGGACCGGGATGGGAAATACATGTAAATCCATGGCTGATTCATGTCAATGTATGACAAAAACCACTACAATATTGTGAAGTAATTAACCTCCAACTAATAAAAAATAAAAAAATTTAAAAAATGAAAAAAAAATAAGGTGCATAGGAAAGATTTTACTGAGAAGGTAATACTGTAAATAAATACATGAAGGCGGTTAGAAAGACCTATGAGGAGGTCTGGTGTAAGGGGTTGGGGAATAAGTTTTCAGACGAGGAAATGACCAGCATTGGGAGGTGCGGCTTGGCTGACATGCGAGAAATAACAGGAGGCAAGTGAAACAGGGAAATTAGGCAAGTGGGCATGATGTAGGCAATGTGATAGATGGGTAACGTGACGCGACATCATTGGTTTGGGTCCAAGAGAGAAAGGAAACTTAATACAGTTTGAAGAAGAAAACTAAAACGTTATGAAATGAAATTTTAAAAGGACTGCTCTGACTACAGAATGGAAACTGTTATGTTTGTTAGGTAAATATGAGAGTGGTGAGAAGGAGGCAAGACATAGCTGTTCATAACCCAGAACAGAGGTGTAGGCTCACTACACGTAACAGTGGTGGAGGGGCAGGGTCTAAAGTGTGGATGCCTGACCCAATAGGCATGAGTGGGAAGGGATAGCACAGAGATTGGATTCTGGATCTATTCTGAAAGTAGAACTGGTAGAATTTGTTAATAGATTAGATGTGCCATATGAAATCCAGAGAAGAGTTCAGAATAATGCCAGAGTGTTCGGTTTTCTTAAATGTTAACCGTGTATGAGTAAATTCCTATAATCATTTTGCAGAACACTTTGGCATTCTCTAGCAAAGCTGAGGATACAATGCTATATTTCCCCAAAATCTCACTTGTATGTTTTTACCTTAGACTTTTGCTCATGTGCATCAGAAGGCATAAGACGTTCATTGCAGCATTGTTCATGAGTGCAAGAAAACGAAAAACAGTGGCAAAACGGATTCATAAACTGTGATTCTTATTCATGTTCATACAGTTCTTAATATAAACCTTCATTGTGAATATTAACAGGGATGAAAGACACAAATAATATTAAGCAAAATATGCAACCTGCTGTGTAATATAGCAAGACACCATTTATAGAAAGTTTAAAAAACTAAAAACTGAATAATAGGTTTCAGAATACACACTAAAGAATGATAGGGGAAAATATTCATCATTGTTCTAGGGAAAGGATGGAGAATTTATTTAGGAGTTAGTAATATTTTATTTCTTTAGTTGAGTTCTAGACACGCAGATGTTCATTTGGTGATTATGGTTATGCCTAACATATATGCAATAAAATCCATTTTTATGAATAGAGCATTTCATAATACAAGATTTTAAAGTGTGATTTGCTACAAAAACACAGCAACCAAAACAGTCATCTGTTTTGAAGTCAGTGTGTTTCAGATACTGCCATTGTAATTTCCCACTGCCATCACCTCTGGTCTGAAATACCCTGAAGATGAAGGTTTCCTTATTATAATTGCATTAAGATGAAAATAAGCAGGTTATATGATGCTGAGAACTTTGGAATATTAATTAAACATCAAGGTTCTGAGCAAATGTTTATTCATCGTTATGCTACCTCTGGACTCCCCCGGTGGCTCAGACGGTAGAAGCGTCTGCCTACAATGCCGGGTTCGATCCC